TGGGCTCGGACACAGTTGTCGTCCACTTCACTACGTCCTTGATATTATCTGCAAAACGAAGATGAGGAAGCTAATCGCCTCCAACTTCCATTTCTATGTTATATTCCATTTACCATGATGCGATGCTATTCAGGATGTCCTTAAACAAATTTGGCATGATTATATCACCTCGTCGAACACCTTATCCTAACGGCAAAAACATAACGTCACTGTAGAATGGTGAAATTTTGATTGTGAAATTTTGTTGACTAGAGCTTGCATGACTGCTTCCTTCTCAGCTGAACTGTTTTTTAAGCTGTTTTTCTTCAAGTTTTCCTTTTCAACTTGGAGTGGTACAAACGACCTCTCGCGATTTCGCGTAGTTCGGTAAGCTTCATTATCGTGTAGGCTTGATCAGTCTAAACCCGCTCGCATGTCCATAGCTCGCTCGATGTTCTGTCAACTTTTTCGAAGCCAGATGAACTTATAGACAACGGATATCAAGCATATTGGGCAATAGTTGTCGATCGGTTCTCAGACGTCTTTTTTTTTTGCAAAAACGCAGTCATCTTGGTTTCTTAATGAATGAAAATTTTGCATTCCTACAGGTGACGTATAAACAGCCGAACAAACTTGTCGATGAGTATTAGCAGTAAGTTCATCAGCTTTTCGAGCAACAATGCTGTTTATGGGTATGGCACAGTGGTCCGAGGCGGCCTGCACACAACGTGGAATTGATCCACACGCCCATGGCCCATCAAGCCGTCCAACGCTCTGGGGCCGGCAAATTGGTACCATTCTTGTTTGAGAGGATAACAGCACTGGCTCGATACATCGGTGAGCCACCTCGATCTTTGTAAAAGGCCAGATATGCATTTAATCACCTCTAACGATATTTAATGAAGTCGAATGCATGGCGCATCCCTCAGGGAGTGATCAACGCCGATAGCTTTATCGTTTCTCCTTTTATCAGCTCTATGAGGGCTCCCGTGAAAGGCAACTCATGGTGAGCTTCAACTACTCGCGTTTCACCGCATTACCATGAAGGTATTGTTTGAGATGATCATTTCGGGTTCCGATCTTGCTGATCTTGTATCTTTCTAGAAGCCACGAAAAAAAATTGAACAAAAAAGAACATCTGATCCTCTGTGAGAGGTACAGACAATATCCGAGGGCTGTTAAACGAAACAATCGACTTCTCTACAATGTCGTCCACTTCCAACTTTCCAACCCGTACAATTCCACCAAAATCTTGCCACAAACTGAAATAGAATTTCATCTTCGTTTAGTGTTTAGTATACTAGTGACGAGAAAAGTTAGAGCTCTTAGCTACCGTGCAAGATTTGCGCTAAGAGCATTATCACTTGGTGTTTAGTTGATCTTTAACATTTCCTTCATCCCATTCACTTTAGTAGTTGTCGGACTTTCTCATCACTCCCTTCTAAGCTGATCTTTTTCGTCGTTCCATGAATATCGCTCTTTCTTACTCGGCCCCGGTTCCAAACCAGTTAGATTCTTTCCTCGACATAGCTAAACACAGCTGGGCTCTTCGATGATAGGCTTCTCTTCGGCGGACCGAGTCACCAACTGGTGGGTAGGGATAAAGAGTGATTAATGGATAGACACCATCCCCGTACGATTTTGAGACCCACTTAATCCTTGGGTGGTACACTCTCAAATCACACGCGGGTTGCCGAGGTTTCACTAGGTTCTTCAGTTTCGGCGACTATTGCCATTTCCGTTCTTCCGTTCTTTGACCTGATGTTTTCTGGATGGGCGGAACTGGAAAAGCAGATAAATCAAGGATCTTCTCATCGGTGTTTCAAAGAGGGATGGAGAGTTATTTATGCCGATCTAGGAATATTGAACGATAGTTATGTAGTACAGTAACAGTAGTAGTAATATCCCACTTTTTGCTTTCAGTGGTCAACTTTCCATAGCTTAGGATCATCTAAAGTGGATGTGACTCTTTCTGTTAAATTCTTTTCTTGAATTCCCACTTTTGTCCACAACCTGGCAGTGCTCTATGTTATTAGGAGGTGCGTCCACGATGGCGGTATTATTGGACTTGAAGATTTTTCGTTAGTGTATCGATCAGAGAAAAACGCAACCCTTAAGCTTTAAAAAAAACTAATGCAGTAGAATGACTACACGTAAACGTTCCCCAAAACACGAAGACACCTGTGTCCTGAACTACATGATTTGACTAGGAAAAAAGTGGTCACCCCTGTCCAGTTCCTATCAACGGCAAGCGGGCACTTCCAGTCGGTCACTAACCTCCTCGTTGGCTGGCCTCTGTACTTAAGATCAATTGTAAAAGTTCACCGAATTTACATTAGAAAATTGGCATCATTAGACTCGCTAGTCTTTCCGTGTCAGCACTGACAGATTAGACCAATTCAGTACCTTCGATTATCCCATCGGTACCCCAATTCCCCTTAGTACTATCAGGCTGATGATATCCTGAGGTCATTTTTGAAGTCAATCCACGATCTCCTGCTACTTCTTTTAGTAGGCTTCAGCATTTAAAAGCGTATTTATCTCAGTATGTTAACAGTTAACAAGTCGATAACAATCAATTATAATGACAACCATCCTTTACATATTTATCGAGTAAACATCAAAGTTTCACTTTCATCTGAAAAAAAGGAACAACAACAACAACAGAACACAAATGAATACATTCATCAATGACGAACAAAGTGCCAGTGAAAAGAACAAACTTGACAATTTGCCCAGCCACCGGAATTTTCATGTAGTTTTAACTATTTTTAAAATGCAACACTAATTCATGTATATGGATGTTCAGTGTTACATAATAAAGAGTTGCATGAAATCATTACATCCACTGCTTCTCGAATTTTATCTCATTACTAGGTCCTAAGGCCAACTAAGCTACAGGCATCCTCTTCCCGTAATTTAAATTCCATTTCCGATAGCACTTCACGTAATTCAGAATACTTTCAATTCCAGTTGGAAGGAAAAGTATTAAAGACAGTACAACAGTACTGATCAAATTTACCAGACTAAAGTCCAATCTAAAAACCAGAATCCATAGTATTGTGTAAATAGAGAAGAAATTGATCTATAACCATTAACTGGAGCCTGTCATGAAGCAGTTTGATTCGTTTTCATTTCAACCCATAAAAAAGTAGAGGGAAGAAGCAGGCTTCTAAGAGAAAAAAAAACACCTATTCTGTCAGGTGTGTTCAACAGCACAATATAGAATTGTACTCGTGAGACAAAGTACCGGCATTTAAGGCTAGGTAAATCGCGTAAGTACTAATGCATTAATAGCGCCCAAAGTGCTTCGATGATCATTAATTCTATTTCACCTGTTATAGCCGTTTAATGTTTACTTGGGTAGCAATGGAATGAGATGGGTTAAAATGAACTCGAAAATTGGTTACAATAATAATTCATGCCCGCTAACAAGATAACAGGCATATGAAAACACACACGTAGTCCTAAGTATGGTCCATGATTCATAAAAGAAAGCATATTAATAATACTACATGTTAGTCTGAAATAAAAATCTCAAGAACACTAATTTAAGAGAGAGTCAACACTCCAATGAAGTGGTCGAAATCGAATGAACATAACCAACAACTAAGAGTTTTAGAGGGACGTTTCAAATAAAGAGAAATTAAGAACAATGTTATTTTATGTAAAAACTGGGTAATGAAACTCTTTGTAATAACATAAATCTCAAGAGCTACACTGAAGCAGCAAGTTCGAATAAGCATGATGATATGTAGGCCAGTGACGTTGGAGATTGAAAATATACCGCATATTAGTTAATCATAAAAAAAGAATTGAAGTATATGAATGAGAGAAATAGAAAACAAATGAGCTCGTACACAGTTACCAACAGTAACCAACCATGTAAAGAAAGCACATAAAAAATTCAAACGTTCGTATGCGTTAGAATCATGCACAAGACGCTCAACAACTTAACAAAACATGGAACTTCACGTTTAAGTGCTCTCCACCCAATGTCCATAAAACAATATGACCTAGCTGATGCTAACCATCTATGTACGGATCGACCAAAAACTGAAATTGTTTCCTTCTCAAATTAATTACTTCACAGGACCAAAAAATGCGCTTCGGACTCAAAAATGAATAACAACACAAATAAATAAAGACATAATGACGCTGAGATATTGGCAAAACTCCGGACCACAAGTGCTTGCGGTGGGGAACGAACGCGCTATTTTCTTGTCCAGGGTTAGCGCGTTCACCACCACAGCATACGGGTCCATCTTTTCGCCTGTTTCTCAGCTAATTTTCTATCTATCAGTGCTGTCAGCAATCACTCATCAACCGGATTGGAAAAACGGGAAAACTAACTGAGGGAAAGGCAAACAAAGGAGGAGGAGGCAGGAGGCAAAGGCAAGGATTTGCGTGGTATGGTGGTGAACGCCTTAACCCCCGGAAAGGGTATCGGTCCGGAGTTTTGCAAATATCTCAGCATCATTATGGTTGTATTTCACATAATACCCTGTCGTGAAATATTGTAGTAAGTTGCAAATAAAAACATATGTCTTCATAGAAATAATGTTGAGAACCCGCCGTTTCTGTTTTCTCTACTGCAATAATATTAAAGAATATTTATAAAGAATCATTAGGAAATTATCATTAGGAAAAAAATTACCAGGAAGGAACAGAAATTAACAAATCTATGAGTTAAAATCTGCCAGTATCTCGAATAGCAGAATAAAAGAGGTGAAGAAAGATATATCCTATATACACTAACCCTCTTCCAATTAATCGCTTATCAAAGAGACGAATTTGGCGCCCGATAAAAAACCAATTTAGCGGAAAAAGAAACAGAAATAAAATGACGGATATAGGGAAACAGCAGAAAAGCATGCTCTAGTATTATTGAAATGACAGTTTCGCAGGTTGCAATCATGTTATTAAGGAAACTGATGTTTCTACAGAAAAAAACTTTGAAATAATAGCTTTTAAATGTAGACAGACTCACGTATGTGACCGCTCAGTGTGTAAAAGAAGTGCTACCAGACTTGATTGAAGCTCTGCTGATTTCGACTCAAAATACTCCGTACATCGGATGTGAACCGCAACGCGTCGAGAAACGGCAACAAATTCAGTAGACATGTGTCTGATGGATCAGAAAACCATGAGGGAATGGGAATAGCGTTCTCTAAAGACGTAATCAGATCAGATCACTCAGCAAAGTTTGCTTCGTGCAACAAATGTCCCGCATAATCTACCTCAAGCTTAAAAAAATAAATAACAAAAGGAAATCGTGAAATGAAGCAGTAGCTTACGAGGAAACTTCCTATAGGCCCCAGGTGAATTATCCAGAATAAAGATTGATGAAAGATCCTGATGAATAGCACTCAGATCCTTCGTGTATCCGCCATAATCCATAGTACAGTGTTGTCGAAAATACCTTAACGTAGAAGTACCTTCGCTTAAATACTCTCCATAATTATTCAGCATTAAAAAAGCCAGGAAAGGCATTCAAAAACACATAAGAGAACGAGTGATTCCTAACGTAATATTGCTAACCCCTATTTTTTAAGAAGTTATGAAGGTCTTTAATCTATCACTATACCTGATCAGAAGCTACAAACCTCCTATTTAATATCCCCCGTCCATTGTCAAGTTTATCTGCCACGTGAGTTCCGTACACTTCCATACTCGCCGTGAAGACCACTAGATCAAACCTAAGCGCGAATTGATATCAATTCATCTTATTTCTGATCATCGTTTTGACAATATGTAAGCTTTTGTCCACTTTTATATTCAAGCGATAGTCTGTCTAAAAAATATCGGGATATTGAGGGTGGGACTCATTGTATTAAATAAATATTTTCACTTCAAACAGAAAAAGGAGAGAAAAATTTAGCTAATTTTAGGCTTCCAAAAAACAATCCTTAGAAGAATTGAAAGCGCTGAAACATACCACTGACTGACAACAGAAAGAAAGTAGTCAACATGTGGTCGTGCATGTACCGAAAACCTCACCGGATGGCGATCAATAACTACCTTAATAACTAACTATTATATACAACTAATAACTATATATATGTTACCACTTCCTCTTAAAGTAAGGAAAATATTTGCAAAATTAATAGTACTACACTTCCTTAGCTGAGAGATAAATTAGTGCTAAAAAGCTGAGAGAGAGACGAAACGAAGACCACGCATGATCAGCGCGTTCGTTCCCCGCCGCAGACACCTGCGGTCCGGAGTTTTGCAAATATTTCAGCATCATGATTCTATCACACTTTCCATTACTACTTATTTACCAAAAACATACGAAAGCTGACTAAATGAGATGATTAACAGTGAAGATCTGAACACTACTTCAGACAAGTTTCAAATATTTAAACATTTTATATAATTTAGAGACTTCCAAAAACATTCTTGTTTCACACCTTTATTGTAAAGTCGGATGGCGTCCCTGGTTTAACCATTGGACGAATAACACCATCGTGATGGGAATGAATGAGGGTCTCATCCAAATCGAGCACCAAAATTTTCTTTCGCAAAATGCCTGGCAAAGATTCAAAAGTCACATGGAATATAAAAAAAGACACTTCTATAAAGACTTTAGTTTTGCGACCTACTTAATCGGTGAGCGGTAAGAGGAGAGCACGGCACATGATCATACTTCACCACCTGATACTTGGCATACTGGAAAAAGAAATCTTCAAAAAATTGCAACCTGGCTTTTCAATAAGAGTTCTTGTTGTTACAAAAACATCCATGGGAACCAAAAACCACTTCTAACGTCTCGCTGATAGATACAGAGTTCTTTAGAAGCAAGGCATGAATGTTGTTGATAACTTGCCATTTAAACGAAATGTTCACTTCGAGAGAAAAAACAGCTAAAAATTCCTCCAGATGCTGCTAAGTGCTCAACGTTTCCAATGTAAGATCCAGAACTAATTACAGGAATTTGAAAAATTCCGGTAATTAATACACTTCAGAGAGACAGTGCTATAGCTGTAACCTTGTTAATATTATAACTGCCGATAATAATAAAACCCCTTCCAACGGTTAACCGCCTCATCGTGGCTAGGAAGTGTTCTTGGGTGTCGGGTAATGCACTCCCCCCGATAAAGCCTTCCAAGTTGAGAGTCCTGCGTTTCCATCAGGAAGCCCGACTAAGAGTGAACCATTACCAGGATCTACCACTGTTCTAGTACCGAACTAGGCGTATGGTGGCAAATCCTCCCTGATACACAAGGGCAGCGACTGCCTGTGGTGATGGTGATGATCAGGGGTATACTTTGGCTAAGCTGATCTTGGGACTACAGGGAACCACAATGGCTAAACCAACAAAATTCCCAAAAAGTGGGAACTATGCGAGGAACCACACAATCAGTGAAGATGAGCCATCAAGGTGCCCAAATAGGTAATAATAAGACCACTAACCGCACGATGTAGTCGTTTGAATCCTTGCACAAAGAAGCTCAGAATCGTTCCCAGTGCCAGCAGCACAGCTGTGACCATTGATATCATACTACGAAAATGGGAGTTTGGTTGATGGATACGACGATCCGACGACGAAGCCGCCTGACGACGCATCACAGCATAACCTAAAACGACCGCACGATTGGTAACACAAGCAAAAGAGGAGACCTTTATTAAGGGCTATTCATAAGGTACGATGAAAAAAATAAGTGAATAATAATGTCATGGAGTTGGAATTCACATATGACCAGTAAAGAATCCATAAAATGGAAAGAAAATTAGAAAATAGACACTCTGGGAAAGAGGAAAGTCAATTCCGAGACAACGACGCTTTAGTCAGTAAACAACGTGTGATAACAAGAACTACTCTTAGTGAAAACAATCACTAGAGTGATTTTGAAGACATAGTGATAGAAATGATTGATAAGTTGGTAAAACTAGCGATCCGATGAACCTATGGTCTGAAGATGAAAGACCACATCTGGTTTCACAACGATGTTCACACAAAGCACAAAGAAATTGTCCAATGATATTGAATGTAAAACCAGGAAAAACGTCATCAAGAAAACCTAATATATACATATGTGTATGCATACATATATATATGTATATACGTACATATATATATAAATAAACACATATGTATATCCAAACATGTGTAAGATTTTGATGCACATATATCAGGATGTACTTTCGTAACTATCAACTGAATCTTCTTCGTGGTTCGCCCAAAAACTCACAATCAAATCACTGGGAACCCCAAGAAATGCGGTTTAATGGATCATCTAACAGAAATTTCCACTCCACTCTTGCAAAACCCCATAATTTTCACAAGTGCGCAACCCTTCCCACTGCAAAGAATGGCGATGATTGACTGGTAGACAACTGATAGAGTCGATATGAATGATGGAAGCTCGGGTCGACTTTTGAATGACTCAACGTTTGCAAATCCTAATGATCAACGATGACCGATGTGGACTGCGCAGTGGTTAGTGATGCCGTGGATCAGGAAGCAAAGTAGCTAGTTGGACCCCGACCCAACGCTCTCCTCCAATCCAAGTGGGATCACAGCCNGGATATCTTCAAGATTGCAACGAGTATCGATTCGATCAGCATTCTACGACATTTCCAAAGTCAAATAACAAGAGCAAAGTTTGAAAACCACTGTGGACGAATCGACGAAACGAATGGAATGCAAGAAGAGCTGGGATCGGCATGGTAGATTTGATGATGGGTCACGTAAGATACCTACTTGGAAACTTGGATGGACTGCCTTCACTGATTGTGCGGGCACCAGCATAATTTCAATCTTTTTGCAATTTTGCTGGATTAGCCATTGTTGTTCTTTGGTGTCTCGAGGACAGTCTAACCGAACCCTTCGTCGAGTCATCACCACCACAGGCAGTCGCCGCCCTTGTCGATCAGAGCGAAATTTGCCACCAAGCGACTAGAAACGGTGGTTGATCTTGGTATTGGTTTACTCTTAGACTCTGCCAGGGGGATGAATCCCCTCTCTGCACATTGCAGCCCGCTACGCAGGAACGCCCCCAACCACGATGGGGAGGTAAGCCGTTGGGAGACATGTAAATAAATAAATGAAATAAAATAGAACGATTAGTGATATCAGAGACAAAAAAGACGGAACAGAACAATGCTTTGCACATAAATCAGTAGAATAAGGGTATTGCTGAATTTAAAAAAACGAACATGAACGAATTTAGCTCGTTTGAATTTTTAGGACAAGGCAGAACTCCCGGCGCTTTTGGAAAGTAAAGTGTTGATTTTGACAAAGAATTCAGTAAAACTACCGTCCTGTTATCAAACTAGTCGCATGGTGGGAAATATCCCTCTGATCCACAAGGGCGGCAACTGCTTGTGGTAGTGGCGTCCTGGGCGGAATCTGGCGAGGCTGACCTCAGGAATGCACGGAACCACAATGGCTAAACTAGCAAACTCCAAAAATGAAGATTATGCTGGAGCCCGCAAAATTAGTGAAGACGGGCTGTCAAGTATCTAAGTAAGTAATGTCGTAAATCTTCAACTGAAACTCGGCTCATACTGCAAGTAGCTTATAGGTTTGACAGCCAAGTTTACCACTATCGGAGGGAAACTGGAGGAAAACGTCTTATGATTCCGAGAAGTCCTAACACCATATATACAAACATCCTTAGTGTTGACTGTCACGTTATACAACTGCGCTATCTGCACTATCTATTAATCGGTATTGCGCTATTTAAGTAAGGATCGTTAGAACCACTTCCTTCAAGATGTTCAAAGCCGTACTTGTTCCTCCTAGCACCTGTATCACCTGTAGTCCTGTTGATCGTCGAGTGACTCGAGCGGGCGCCAGTAAATCTTCCATTATTGCCTTTCGCGTGCAAGAGTAGCCCAGTGGGTTCTGCTCGCTCTAAGGGCAAGTCGAGCATCATATCTTTCTTCAAAACTCTTTGAGAAGAACTCTGACCATCGGGTCGGTGGTCTTCCTGCAGTACGTTTTACATCACGAGGAATCCAGTCACTAACGGTTCTTGTCCATCGATCGTCATTCGTACGGATTACTTGTCTGGCCCACCTTATCTTCGACTGATTGGCGTACAGATCGGCATCTTCGATTTTTGATCGTTGACGCAGATCGGAGCTCCGGATCCCATCTTTTATTTGTGTGGAACGGGATACTCCTAGCATTGCCCTTTCGATTGCGTGTTCCATAACGCTGAGTGACCTTTCATCCTGCTTACGCAGCGACCAGGTTTCTGATGCATAAGTTAGGGCAGGAAGTACCGTTGAGTCGAAAAGGTGGGTATGGAGTCGGGTGTTCTTTGTTCCCTTCACTACACCCTCGATGCTCTTGAAAGCTCCCCAAACCGCTCGTTTTCTTCTGCTCAGCTCTGGAGCTAGGTCGTTCATCATATTGATTTCCCGGCCTAGATAGATATAACTGGAGCATTCAGAGATATACGTTCCGTTGGGCGTGAATGGAGCATGCGAAACCAATCCGTTCTCTATGAACATCGTTTTTGTGAGATTTAGTTGAAGAACAATCTTTCCACAGGCTTTATTAAAATCGTCAAGCATACGTTCCGCCTGGCTAATGTTTCGTGTTATAAGGACGATGTCATCAGCAAAGCGAAGTTGGTGTAACTGCCGACCGTCGATTTTCAATCCCATATTATCCCACTCCAATGCTCGCATGACGTTCTGGAGGGTGGCGGTAAACAATTTTGGCGAGATGATATCACCTTGCCTAACTCCTCTTTTGACGTCAATGTTAATATCGTTGTAGAATGGTGATACCTTGGTTGTGAAATTTTTGAACAGCTCATGAAGAATCTTTATGTACTGAGTAGTGACTCCTTGACTATCAAGGGCCTCCAAGACTGCTTCTATCTCAACTGAATCAAAGGCTTTCTGTAAATAGATGAAAATGAGACAGAGCGGTCTTTTGTACTCTCACGATACTCAATGAGCCGTGTTACCGTGTGGATGTGGTCCATCGTACTAAATCTTTTTCGAAACCCTGCTTGCTCACATGGCTGTCCTTCGTCCAGTGTTCTGTCAATCCTGTTTAGGACGACTCGAGTGAAAAGTTTGTAGACGACAGACAGCAAGCGTGTAGGTCACCCTTCTTGAAGAATAACACGGTCTTGCTGGTCTTTCACTGATTAAAGAACTTGCATTCGGAGAGGTAGAGTGTCAGCAGCCGAGTCTTTACGAGGAGTGGCGGAAGGTTCTTTTTTAACAAGTTTACAACTTACAACTTTAGAATTTTAAAAAACGCGTCGTATTGAAGCTGTCAGGAACCAATTATGACCAACTTCTTCCGCCATTGTTGACACTGTTTGGTTACGAGGTGTTTGGCTGGGTGGATTGCGGTCAACTTGACCCTTCCGGGTTCTGAGGAAGGCGAAATCTGCCGAAACGTCAGCTTTGCCGGAACAAAGTTTAAAATAGCACCTTGTATTTGCTGAACAAGAATACAAAGAATTGATGAGACCACTTGGTAGCCTGTGTTTACTAGCAAATGCCAACAAACCAGGGAAAATCATAACATCATTTCCTAATCATGACGCAATGCAAACCAATATTGTCTTTGCCAATACCCAATTTAAAAGGCCGCAGTTTCCCAAAACAAAGACAGAAATCCTCGATTGCATTAGGAAACAAGCACTGACGAATATCATTAAGCAAAAACAACTTCGAAACTGAAAACCCAAACAAAGAAGAAACAGGTGGCCTTCAAGATCAATCAATAATTGTGAGGAAACCCAATCAATAGGGAGAACAAACTTGCTGAGGCTGCAGATTAATCTCACAGGCAACTGGTGACTTGGTGATTCGACAAATTGGTAGCCACCACTCAACACTGCTTCGTACTACGTAGTACCATTACTTAGGTACTCCGGAAAACCAAGTTCCGATGACTGTTTTGGAGTTTAAAGATGCAAAAGTTAGTCATCTAAGTGAAAAACAACGTAATGGATCTGGCTAGGATCCGAAACTTAAAAGCAAATAAGGAATACTCGGAAATGTCGCCCGCCGATGGGTATTTGAATGCGAATTCGATTTTCAGACACCGGCTTGGTGTCAACGCGACATGGATTGACGTGAAAACAGTGGCTAGCGTTAATCTTGTCTGTGGAGTTGTGGAACAGGTACTTTTCTAAAGTCGATACCTGGTCTCACTTTGTGTTATCCATTGTACAGAAATCCAGCTCAGTCCAGAAAAGAAAGTCCGTTTATTGAGCTATCGTGCGCATTGGCAAGGGAACGCGATCTACTTGTCGGTACTTCTAAGTACTACTCCATTGTGTAAACTCACTTCGACCTTAGCTCTATAGTTTTTCGTGGGTTTCACTTCAGAAAACAGTGTTTATAGCTTGTCAACTAGGTTTTCTGACTGATCAAAACGTGCCTCGAAGATTTGCCTAGACGTTGAAAGCTATCTACTTTCACATTTTTATGACATAAGTTTTGCGAGATCTTGGTCTTCACCGCTTTTCACTTTTAGCCCATCGATTTCTGTAATGTCCTGACCTTCTACTGTATCATAACTTTTGCGATATACTCTAGAAACGTGTCGTTATATGCAGTGAGTCGAAGTGCGTTTTCAGTGCCATGACTGAGAGCGATGGCGGTGCGACGGCGGCGACTACTGTGGTTCAGCCTGTTGCCACCGGAGGTACCGTACTTGGCTTACTTTATTGTAATTGAATGGGTTTTGTAGCTTTTCATCGTCCCAAGACTTTTCATCCTGATTCCTCTACGGAAATTCTCCATTGCGTGCGCACATCCCTACCCAGGATGACTGAACGAGTGGATGACATTGTATCGTATTTGGTTGCCTTTTTCATCTTTTCCCTCCATTCTTCTTCATCTCTTTCCATCTCATCGTTCCTAAACCTTTCGAATTTGACATAAATTCGTTTGGATTTTGACGGTGAGGTGATTTCCATGGAACATAATTGCGTGTCAGAAGCCCTTCAGTGTTGTGTGTGAGGTTCTTGGTTTCGTTGAGCCGGCAGCCTCCACCTTCACAAATGATTCACTGCTTCATGTTTGCTCAAGGTGATTCATGAGTGTTGAAATACTGTACCCATCGAGACTTACACAGAAGTCTAGCTGAATTAACCAGTGCCCGACATTGTTAGTTCTCTCTAAATTCTATGGTTGATCTCTCCAATCCGTGAAGGCCAGCGACTCTATTGTGACGGCCTGAGATCGCTTTAGCGAGGCCTTGTCAGGGCTTAAGGGAAAACTACAAACAGCAGTATAGTAGTATCATTGACTCTTCTGTCTACAAATTTGGGTGAAGTGAGTCCTAGGGATGGGCTGGGAAATCTGGACTTGCACAGGACCTAGACCGTCAAGACGACTCGAATCAAAACGTTTAGGAGACTTCGTCAAGGGTAGTTCTTCTGCACCTGCAGTGTGCCAGAACAGTATCTTATGCCATCGATTCTCTGAAGGCTTAAAACATAAAGTGTTTCGTAATCGCGCTACACGAGACATGTGCATTAAGGCCAAAATACGCCAACCAAACTGTATTATTCTTATTATCCATGGAAAAATTCCATTGCAAATATATATGTGTGATTCTTATATGTATATATGATTCTTATACACCCATTCATTATATTTAATGCATCATATACGACTCAGTAACCTCTCCTGATCGCGTTTTCTCCTCTGCCTCAAAAGGCAATCATTAATATCATTATCTACTGATGAAAATATGCGATTGACGTAGGAGAGCCCGAATAATTTCGTGAACTGGTGGCGACTTTTTACTGCCTGAAGCCAGATGCTGTTGACTGTTTTCCTACTGATGTTTTTACAGTTGTGCAGGTGGTGACGTACAAAGGCATTACAGAGCACTTTCCGGCTGGTTGCGCTGCAAAAACATGAAATAACTCTTGCTGCTCACGTTACAGCTAGTCTAGGAAAATGATTTCATGATAAATTAGGCGACAGTAATATGTGAAAGAATACACATAACATAGGAGACGTTTGATGGTAGTAGATATTGGAGTATTGTTTATGACGTAGATCTTAATACCTTTTAATTCTTGAATACTTGGATGGCCCGTCTTCACTGGTTGTGCGGGCCCCAGCATAATTTCCAATCTCCGGAGATTTTCTGGTTTAGCCATTGTGGTTCCCTGGAGTTCCGAAAACAGCCTGGCTAAAGTCTACCCCAGGTCGTCTCCACCACAGGCTGTCTCCCAGCCCTTGTTGATCAGAGGAAGATTGCCACCATGCGACTTTGATACCAGGACGCTGATGGATCTTGGCATTGGTTTACTCTTAGCTAGACTTCCTGATGGAAACGCCGGATTCCTTCTCTGCTTGGGAGACCTTGCCGGAGGGACGAATCCACCCGTTGTACGTTAAAACCCGACACTCATGAGCACCTCCCAGCCACGATGAGGCGTTAGACTGTTGAGAGGATACCCTTTAATAGGTAACTGAAATCAGTATAGTAGTATTCGTGACGGACTACTGTACACATTATTCATGTTCCTTGGAAATTGGCCCTTCTTATGGCGCAGAATTGTTAAACGGAGAGCGACAGTGCTCATTCGAGATCAGTCGGATACTCTAAAACAGAAGATGGTATCTCTTGACAGAGTGTAAGGTGACACTACCCCAACAAAGCTTTTGACTCCATTATGCATAATAGATTCGTTCGAAGGTATGAAATGTGCGTACCCTTAGATGGGGCGTTCCTACAAAGTCCTCTTGTTGCTGTGATATTCACATGTTGAAGGGCCACCACCCCGTTCGAGCCTTGTAAGCTAGGGATGAATCAGCTGACGTGCCAAACCTCCATGTCCAACATTTTAATTCTTCCAGCGTTTTGCCGTGAAACTTGGATGTGGTTCTACGACTCATCCATACTTAATGCTAGTTTTTCAAATTGAGTTACTTCTCTGTGAACCAGTTTTAAGTTGGTATTGGCAAGAGTCTGGCACATACTATTAATGGGCAAGGTAACCTGGAGTGCCGAATCTGATATCCTCTGCTGTTCTTCCGCCATAGAAGCACTGCGGTCTTCCTTTTTTAGAGCCTAAGTAATAGTTTACTGGTTGTACCTTTCATGTGTTGTTTGATCTATGGTTGAAAATTATAGGAGGGCCGCCTGTTCGAATTGTTGATCCTGTTGACAAATACACTGCACTTTTGGTTAGGGTGGGTTTGGTTCCTTTCTTTTTCATGAGTGACAGTATTCGTCTCTGTTGCAGGTTTAGCGCTTAAAACAGCAGGGCTGTTAGTCTTCTAAGACGATTCATTCGCAACTTACATTCCTTTGATAAATACTACTTTATAGTGTTGTTCAGAGTACGATAGTCGGCATGGGATTAATTGGTGGTGGCTTATTTCTGCGAAATTCTCGACTTGTGAGTTTATTGCTGATTTAATTATTTCTTCATATTTAGTACTGGTAGCATACGACTGCTCAGTTGATCACTTTTGTACCCGATTTGTTTACAAATGTCCTCAATGTTCTTAAAATATTTGCCTTGATCACGGAAGCTCACCAATAAACCAATTCAGTTTGCGAGATTTGAGCATGTGGCTCAGATACCAAAGGAATTCATTCGAAAGGAGCTTGAGTTGAAAGGAACAGTTCGTGAGGTTGGTTCCCATTGTCGGTGTATAGTTCTTGTCATACTTCTTCTTCTTTGTCGATTACGGTGGATAAACTCTTCCAATTTCATATTTTGATATGCTGTAGTAATGTAGAGTGCTCGATATGCATAATTGTGACCATGTTTTGTTCCTACCTATCTATAAAATACCTCGATGACTTTGGTTGTTAGGAATTAATGCGACTACATAGTGTCGAAGAAAGACGAGTAGCGCAGCGGTCTGAAGCGCCCTACAGTACCACCAAACCCTATATCTCTCCTGGGTCGGCAAATTGGTACCGGACTTGTCTTGGAGGATAGCATCATTAGCTCGATACATCGGTAGGCCACCGCGAGTCACTGTAAAGGTCAGATATGCGTTCATTCACCTACAACGATGCTCAATGAAATCGAATGCATGGCACATCCTCTAGGGATTGATCAGCCCCAAAAGATTTATCCTTTTTTATCCATAATGTTGAAAATTGTGTGGAAAATGGACGGGTCGTTCGTAGATTGATACTTGCTTGACCCTTGTTCTGTCATCTAGCGGTTTCTTTTTCAAGATAACGCCGTCTGGAGAGCTACGTGTTGAACATGTGCCGGTGGTGAAACTACCTCCTATTTTCTCTCCAAAGAAACAAATGAAGGTAAGTTTGTGCAATTGCCGATGAGTTGACTTTTTTCACAATTAAACTTGACTTGATAGATTCATTCTATGTAAATCATGTTTCAGGGCTTACTAAACCTCCGTCTTGCTGGTGTCTATATGTCTCAAGCTGGTCAAGAGTTTATTGCAAAAGACTTGCGTCTGATAAACAAGCCCATCATTTTCACTGTTATAAAGGTGGGATATAATCATTCTATTCTCATCATGAAAATAGGGATTAATTGTGTTGTGGGATACTATTTTTGTTCCTAATAGGTAATGAATAATGCATTCGTTATATTTGAGTATTTCGACTACTTTTTCATAAGTTGGGAGATCTCTTGTGCCTTGGAAAAGACTGATTGGGTGACTTTTTTCTTTGGAATCATTCGTCCGCTCTAATAGAGCTTACCCAGGTCGAACTACAATCGGTTTGGCATCCTTCGTGTTTCGGCTGAATTTATGCTATATTGCAATCAGGGGTTTTTTTCTAGGAGGCGACAGTTTCTGGTGTCAGTTCATTTTTCGATGGGATTCCGGATATAAGCGTGAAAGTCCTGAAAATCTTGGGTGGCCCTTGCTTTAGTTAAATCCAGTGTATCGAATTTGATACCAGAAGACATCCCTTCAGTCATTTCGGAATTTCTCAAAAGCGTTGCGAAATTTTGAGTCGATTAGAAGCAAAAGTATAGTCATCCTTTCCATAACTGTGACAGCCGGCAATGACCTTTGATTTCATGGATTTATCACGAGACTTTTTATGTTTAATATATCGCAAAACTGGTTACAATGAATCACCAATTTTCCAGCCTAGCGATGATTCAGTGGATACAGTGGATGCTGATGTAACCGTGAAAAAGGTAGGTGACTCAGGCGATTTTTCTTTAGTTTGTCACAAATCTCTTTATTTGGATGCAAATCTTTTCATGACCCTCTTTGGAAGAAAGAATTTCAACTTCAGTTTATAACTTTTATCGTAGAATTTGTAATCGGGAAATTTGTAGTGTCTTGAGGATAGCGAGGTGATGAAGGAATAAAAGACTGCGGCATTGTAACTCTATTGTTAATTAATTTTTAAAGACTGCCTATTTCGCATATCTTGCACCTACTGAAGAATTATGAAATAACGGTGATATCTACTTTTCAATCTTCGATTCTGTCGTTCTAGAGTACATTTAACCGATTGAATTTGAACGTCGAAGTGGTGCGTCGTGGCTATGCTCGCGTCCTACCACCTGAATCCACGCGTCATCTCAAGGCTTTGCAGACGATCCCAGCATATTCCAGACTGGTCAGTCGACTGCTGATGAGTGAGAAAGTCAGTTTTCCAGTTCTATGTGATTGCTCAGTTTTGATCTTGAATATTTACAAAATTATATTAACTGACGTTTCCTCAAAGCTTACTACAGCTAACCATTTTGTTCACCCTGAAAATGAACCGGTCCGCTGTAATAAAAATTGTTTTCTACTATATATTTTTATTTTCTTCTTAGATAACTTTTTTCTCAACAAATTTTATGCTCGTGGTGGTCTATTATGTCTTACCAAGTATTTCCAGTAGTTGTAGAGAGCTCAGACTATGTGGTTCAATTTGCTGTATGCTATTCTCTCATTGAGTGGGTTTATAGGTGTTTTCTTCCACTCTTATTTGTAGCTGTAACGAGGGAATGAAAACTTGGCTCACCAGAATCAGGCTCGAACTATGACATATTTGACGATATTTCTAACACTGTGTTTACACAAATCCCAACAGTCTCGTTACTAATTCTGATTGCAGTGAAGTTTCGCTCGATATTGTTCCAGCTTCATTTACATGATTTTTAAACCTTTCTTTGTTTTGGGTAGTTCAGCCGAACAGCTTTTTTAGATTTGTAATCCTGACAAGAAAATGTTATCCTAGCAAAGTTTTTATTGTCATAAGCACCTCATGTTTCCAAAATCTATATAAAACAAGAAGGATGAAACTTTCGGCGCTGATCAACCCCTGAGCTCCATGCATTCGACTTCATTAAGCATCGTTTTTGGACGTGACTGAATGCATATTTGGTCTTTACAATAACTTGCAGTGGCTTATGGATCTACCAAGTGAATGCTGCTATCCTCCCAGGCAAATCTGATATTAATTTGCCGACCCCGGAGAGATGAGGAGCTTGGTGAGTCTGAGGCGCGGGATCGATCCACGTTGATTGCAAGGCATCTCTAACCACTCCCCTACATGATCCTCTTGAAATCAAAAATCAGCTTGCTAGTGTGTAATCAAATTTGAGTGTGAGGCAAAAAAATGGTGCCCTATTTGTTTCTTAAGGGTCAACCCACTGTCTTCTGGAAGTCGCTGTGTGGGAGGAATAACCACTTTTTCACATGTTATCCTACATTTCATTGCATTCTATTTTCCTTTTTGTTGTTTTACTTGTTTGTTCTATACAAACTCGCTCGTTAACGTTTTGAGTTATTTCGAAGATCTTGAATGCATAAATGGTATCATTTTTTAAAAATTCATTAAGAACTAAACTTTTTATTTGACTAAATGGCTTGGAATAAATGTTAAGGTTAAATTTTTTGGCGACCTAATCGCAAAGTTGCTATTCTGGGATAATCGATTACGGTATCCGTTCGTGGATCAGTTTCTTGACCATTCTGTTCAGAAAGATATGTCCAATATTCTATGAAAGTATTTTTTCAATCGAGACTCAGTTTCATCTCAGTGTTATACCTTTTTATTTTCTGCCTACTATTATTTCGCGGCAGGGTACTAAGCGAAATACAATCACAACGTTGCTGAGATATTTGCAAAACTCTGGACCGCAGGTGTCTATGGTGGGGAACGAACGCGCTATTGTCCTTTCCGGAGAGTAGCGCGTTCACCACCACACCATGCGGGTCCTTCGTTTCGCCTGTCTCTCAGCTATTTCTATCGATCTTTGCCACAGCAATCACCCTCATCTCAGTGTTCCCGTGTTTGTTTTTTTATTCGGCTGGCCTTGTTATCACCAACGCTTTGTTTTGGACGTTTCTTGCTAATTTCAATGGAGCCCATCGGCGCAATTGTATTTAAGCCATGGATTTGATTGCTACTGTTTTCATGGTCCTGGATATTATGTGGTGCAGAATATACCTGAAAAGGCGACGCACGTCAGCGAGCTGTTGTTTCAACGATTTCTACTTGATTGAAAGCGTTTTATACATTAAATCCTCTTTTATTTATTATGATTAATCCTGTTCGGGAGTTATTGATTGTTAATAACCATTTCGACAGTTGTTTGGTTTATTTATATTAGTGATATTTCTTATTTAGCGCTTACTAGTGCATCTAGTAAGGGCTGTGAATTAGACATCTTAAAGAGACCATTATACTTTGTTTAGAATTTTTGAATTTTTTCAGCTTGAAAGTTCGCTTAAACTAGGATTTTATCATCTTCATATGTGGAAGTTATCTTCAGTGAACCTCTATCCATAAATGGACTGCTAGCAGAGTTTCCAATACCTCAGCCGATTACTAAGTTTACAGATAGCTGATCGACGCGGTATTGGTTTATGGGAACGTGATTCATGGTTGGAATCGGTCCGATCATATCCATCACAGTTGCGTCAGATTGTTCTTGGTGCTCCGATTACCAAGTTTTTGGTGAGCTTTTATTCGATGTGGTAGTGCTATTAATCTTAAATTGGAATTACAGAAATTTGCTGAATGGGTAACTTTTCATGGAAGGGAAATTTGTCTTCGCCATGAACATCTTGGAACTGCTTTAGTGAGCAAAGGATGTGTATGGTTGCTAGTTAATCGATGCTTTTTGAATAATGTTTTCACGAAGAATCACTCGAATTCCGCAGCACTTTTTACTAATTTAGTTTCTTGTTGGTTCGTCAAATTTTTGTTTTCTGCCACAGAGAACGTAGCCTTTCTATGGCTTTTTCATGTCCTCATCGTAGTGTCTTAAGTGTCGATGTGAAAAATACCTTATACTTTGAACTGAAATTTCCGATATTTCTCTAAGAGTGAATAAGTTTTAAACGGAGTGGGTGGTTCGGAAATGTTTTTACTTGGTACACCTGTCCATCTATTAGCTAATTAACTAATTTTCTTTCGAGATTATGTGTCGAAGAACAACCATTTCCAAGAGATTTGTTATGTGGTGTTGGGTCGTAGAAAAAATAACTTCATAAACGTATTAAAACGAAATAAAAACGGTGTGGTAGAAGAGAACGATAAGCTTTAAGGTGTGTATCGGTATGCCAGGTCAAAATCACATGAAAAGAGCATCCTCTGAAATTTTTGGTCACAGTAGGGGAATATATGAAACTTTAAAATCCATTAGGAATTCCCACACTCGTAGACAGCTATTCTTAGAAAGTTTTCTCCTGACTCCTGAATTCCTGAAACTTATATTTATGCAGTTTCTGGAGTGCAACTATAGTCTCATTAATACTAACATGAGGTGGGAAAGAGCTTTCGTCCCTTTCTGTCGTCCCTTCATTCATCCTCTTTCGTAGACTTATTGAAATTGATTCAATCCGTTGGTAGGTTGTTACATTTTTCTGCCAACCTAGTAAAAATCGGCAACCGGATATATTTAACGCATGCGATTGTATGTGATTGTTGTCGGAAGCACTAGGATACAGAACTTTTGCTTCAGATTCTGGTGTTCACGGTGTCGAAGGATGTGCTTCTGTTTGGTGTTAAACTGACACAACAGACCTACGCTCTGTTACTAGTCGCTTGCGCTCACATTGCTAACGGGTACAATCGCTTTGCATCCGGCGTGGATCGTCTCACCGACAAGTACAACAAAGCACGACAGCGATTTAAGTAGTTACATCGACTGCGTAGATGTACGTAGGTGATTTCTCTTCTATTTCTGTCCTGAAAAGAATGTCATATCCAACCCTCATTGACTATATCTCTGTTCTACCACGGCGTTGATCAAGTGGAGGAAAAAACTGTATAGCTAAGCTTATTGATATAAAATCTCATTTGGTGTTCTTTTTTTTAAACCAAGTTGTAGTATTGATTTGGACAAATTTCATTATTTACTTGATAATTGTTTCCGTTGCCTGGATCATCATGTATCGCGTTGTGTTTTCCACTTTACTACCACAGTGTCGACAATGAAAATCACTGGATAATTCATGCCTATCGATTGCCTCTTACTTTATTGATCGTCAATCGATACTCACAATTTGCATGGACACATGTGTTTCATTGCGGGTGTACTGGTCGTTTCTAGGCCCTCCTTGTCATGGTTTTTGCACCCTTCTCGTGCGTTAGTTAGTTACACAGCATTTGATCGTGATGATGTTAATTAAAACTGGTTTTCGACCTGTAACTGGTAATGAGTTTAGGCATGTTACTGCCTTACTTACTTTTCATATGTTATAAAGTGAGATTGTATATCAAATTGCTTACCTTCCCGATCATGCTTTTAAAGCTCTAGTTTAATCTATGAATAGGTAATCTAATTGTAGTCGATATAGGTCGAGGATGTCTAATCGTTTGTTTAGGATAGGTTTAATTTTAAATTTCAAATGATCTATGTTTTCATTTTCGAAAGTTGTTTCGTTGATATGGAAGTGCTCATAAAATGAAATCACAGGTTAACTCAAAAACAGTGCTTTTCTTGGCAAAAAGGTCCGTTCCTACCTGATAATGAAATATATGTGTATTGAATTTTCTGGAAAAGAGGAATTTCTGCGTTGTGTTGGTCATTTCTATTCATTTTTATTTTATAACAATTACCTACTTCAGTAATGTAGGCATAGAATTTGAGTTGTCTATTTATGGAGTTGATTTGTCGACCTGTGTAATTGATACTTATTGCCTTTACAGAGTTTTCATATATGGTCTATTTTCATGCGTACTCATGTTTAATAACCGTTTAAGAATGTGGAGTTGCTCCACAGAATGTTTTTGAATACTATAAAACAAAAGTAAACATGAGTAATAGCCGGTGGTTTACGGATGATAGTAACGCGGTGTCGTCATCCTCAGCGGTCGGTAACACTAGCGATGTGGATGCAACGCTGCGGTAGGTTGTCCTTTTTTCGCATTCGTTTTCATTAACACATTCTAATCGAAGTGCATTGTATGCTATGCATTAGTGGAGTTGAGCAAAGTGGACGAAGTCCATTGCATCGAATTAATAGTATTCGTCCCAGTGGTTTATTGCTTAACAGAGAGCTTGTAGCCGCATTTTTTGCATTTATTCAGTAGCTTGTCTAACGCAATTGTTGTGTCGGGTATTGCATATGAAAAGTTATTGTCTATTCTTAGTGATTTACAAGAAATCTTTCTTTGGCCGAATTGAATGAGTAACTTCATTGGTAATTATTTCTCACTGCCGATTTTAGCCGATAAATTTAGTATATACACTTACTTGGATGGCTCGTCTTCACAAGTTGTTCGGGTGCCACCATAATTTCTGTTATCTCGAGATTTGTTGGTTTAGTCACTGTGGTTCTCTAGAGGAGGACAACCTGGGCAAAGTCTGCCCCAGGTCGTCACCACCACAGGCAGTGGCAGCCCTTGTGGATCAGAGGGAGATTTTCCACCATGCGTCTAGTGTGTTACCATGACCGTTGTGGATCCTGGTATCGGATTACTCTTAGCTGGGCTTTCTGGTGGAAACGCCGGACTCCTTCTCAGCTCGAGAGACTATGGTGAGGGATGAATCCCAGTGCTGTACATCACACCCCGATACCCAAGAACACCTTCCGGCCACGTTGGGGTGGTAAGCCGTTGCGAGGACTATATGTATATATAATATATCTATTTATGTAGCTATACAACATAAACGAATGTTGTCGCGACATACTATGAAACCAGTAGACACCACATTCGAGGGAAAAAAATGAGGCACATTACTGAAGTATTACACAAGAGCCTCCTCAGAAACCATTGGGGCTTCGTTCAAGTGCTCCGTGGCTGATACGCAGAGTTTTTGGCGTGGTTATATAAGCCCATGTGTCTGCTAATAACAGACACCTGAAAGGGTGTTGAATCGAAAAGACGAGTGCGATGTTTTGGGTTCGCTAGTAAATTGATGGTTTCTTCAATGGGCCCAGTTGTGGGCTATAATTCCTCCTTCATGTCCTACATGTTCATTGGACATCTAAGGTATGTTCGTCTTCAAACCACTGGTTCTTCATGGACTGGATCTTTTTCCTATTTATACGTAGTCCGATCTTTTTTCCCGCTTCGTGGAGCTTATTTAGCGTCGTCTCGGGCTCTTAGGTGCTTCTTGAAAATATGACGATATTGTCAGCGAAGCGATGATTGAGAAGGATTTTTTATCAATACGTATGCTTTTCTTGTCCCAATCGAGTGACTTCACTATCCACTGCAGTGCGGCAATAAACAGCTTTGGCGATATTGTGTCGCCTTGTCGAAGTCTTTTCCCATGGGTATGGTAAGAGGTCGGGGGAAAAGCTATATTTTCATAGTGTAGTTCCGATAACAATTAGAGTTCTTAGGTCGACGGTCGACGTCGCTCCTTGGTCGACGAGCGCTGATAGTATTGCATTCACCACTCGCTCTCAAATGCTTTCTCATGGTCGATAGAGGTTTGGAGAATGTTGACCCATGACACTTCAACGTCGTCCATAGAGTAGAATCCTTTTCGGAATCCTGCTTGCTTAATTGATGCTGTCTTGTCATCCGAATTCTTTGATATGCGAAATAAGGTAATCTTCGTGAACACACCCAAGGAACATATTGGTCGAAAGTTACGAAGATTATTTCTTGGGTAGGATGTCCGTACGAGATGTTCTCGATTTCATCCTGAAAGTTTTATTTTTATATGTATTACGAGAAGTACATGTAATTTGTTGCCTCCTGCTCAAAGGAAGATGGCGGTGATATTGTATGGTCCTGGAGCTGTAACTAACTTCATATTTTATCTCTCAATTAGTACTTCGGAAGGTAGAGTCCGCGAAATCGGCATAAAATGTCTTTTTCTTGTTTAATTACTTAAACCATTAAAACATATGGAGAATGGTAGGATGTGTAAAATACATGTTTCCAAAGCAATGGAAGAAGGTCTATACCATAATGCCGTAACATTCTGAACCCATCAAGGTCTCCAGTTATCGAGAAATTATCGTGTTTTTTTTTTTCAAGACCAACAATTTCCTAACAATGTGGATGAAGTTAGGCGTCGTTTCACGCAACCATGCAAATTTGACTGTTAATATTGACTTAACTAACTTAACTGTTAACTAACGAACTTGGTCAATTTTTCGCCTTGGTCGTTTGTTACTAACATATGAGTGAAAGAAATAACTGTGGTCTTTGCCGTATATGAAAATAATTAATATACTCCTTTCTGGTCAATGGGTGGACTATTTGCACCCATCACGAGGAATCGTCTATGCACCAACACAATTTCCACTTGGCTAGCTGGGTAAGATCTTCTTTTCGTAGAGTCTCGGAGTTGTCTTAACTTAATATAACTGAGTGGATATTTTGTTAACAGGGTAACAGTGATTTTTGGTACGGGTTTACTTGTAGGCTTCTGGAAAGAAATGTAGAACTGATCAGCTTGTGGGCTTTCCTGGTGTTAAACATTTCAATAAATCCTATTTTTTAGGGAACTTTTTCTATTAGCATTGTGAGTTATATTTGAGGAAGGATCGGTGTCATCGAATGGGTGTTGTTGTGTTGGAATATTTTATTAGGACAAAGAATCATTCTAGAACGCTTTTGGTTTTTTTTTTAGTTTTGTGATGTAGAGTTTTTCTATTGTGTTGGTTGGTTAATGTAGATCCTTCCAACGGTTTACCGCATCGTCGTGGTTGGGGTTATTCCCACGTGTGCGGCTGGGATGCACAGGAGGGAACTCATTCACTCGGCAGGGTCTCCCAGTGTGAAAATGAGTCAGGCGTTTCCATCAGGAAGCCCATTTAAGAGTAAATCAGAACTACGATACACCATCGTCCTGGTATCAAACAAGTCGCATGGTGGCAAATCTCCCTCTGATCCACAAGGACGGCAACTGCCTGTGGTGGTGACGACCTGGGCAAGTTTGGTTAGGCTGACCTCTAGATTCCACGAAACCACGATGGTAAAACCAGCAAAACGAAAAAGTGGAAATTATGGTGGGGCGCGCATAACTAGTCAAGACGGGTCATCCGAGCATCCAAGTAAGTAATGTAGATGGAGGCGCTGCTTCGTTTTAAGTTGCGAGTTTGTCGTTGAGTGAATTTCGTCTTTCTGTAAATTAGGGAACGAACAGCTGCCCATTCTTAGTAATCTTGTTGAGGTTTCTTTTACAGCTATAAATGTTTAGCGCGTGTGACGGTGGATGGAGGCGCCACTGCGGCACACACGTGAAATCGATCCTCTTGCCCATGGCCCACCAAGCCTTGTATCCCTCCGAAGTCGGTAAATTGGTGCCAGACTTGTCTGGGATGATAGCAGCACTGGCTCGATACATCCGTAGGCCACCGCGAGCCATTGTAGAAGGCCAGATATGCATTCAGTCACCTCAAAACGATGCTTAATGAAATCGAATGCATGGTGCATCCGTCAAGATTGATGAACGCCTAGAGCTTTATCCTTTTTTTTAATTAAATGTTCAGTAATTGCTGTCACTAGTTGTCGATATTGCAGAGAGTGTGAGTCTACTTTTCGAATAGTTTTGTTGCTCTGCAAGTTTCCTGTGTTCACTTTTGTCTTTTACTAGTACAGTTAGTTTGCGAATATTGTTTGGAGAAAGCTTTAGAAAAAAAGCATAACAGTGATAAATATTTTTTAAACAGTCTTTCTTATTTTTGAAACTGACCTTCATTGAACCTCGGTAATAAAGTTTAATAAGTG